TTCTTCCTCGTGAAACGAGGTTTACCGCCATCGAAAGAAAAGCCGCGTTCTTTCGAAATTATTTCGAAAGAACGCGGCTTGAGTCTGGACGCAGGGGAAGTTTTTTCGGGAAAAGGCTACTTTTCCCGAAAAAACCCCTGAGTCTGGACACAGCCCTTGGGTTTAACCAAAAACCTGTGTCTGACATTTGTTATTCCCAAGTTTAGTGCTGTCACACAGGTACAGTCTGCATGCCCAGTCTTCAACCTCTGGCTTGCAGTGGAAATCACTCTCTTTTCTTTAGAAAAAAATGCAGAAGGGTGCGGAGTTTTGTTTTCAAATATGATTTGCTTCATTTGGGCTCAGGGATTTGGCTGGAAGGAGGAGAGCAGAGAGTGGGAGGGAAGAGAAGAGGGAGACAGTGGGGAGTGGGTGAGGTCTGGGCACAGCAGGGAACATTATAAGCAGGGCCACAGAAAGAAGTGGGCTGGGGAGCTCACGTCCCGAGGCAAGAGCTTCACCCATGCCGGGGTTCTATCACCAGTATGTGGGTAGTGAGGACTAATAGTAACAGCACAGGACTGGGGAGTCAGGACTACTGAGTACTGTCCAAGGCTCTGCCACAGACACCCCATCTGACCTTTACCAAGTCCTTTCCCTTCTAGAAAGCTCTAGAGAGCAGGGAGACAATCTAGTTCTCTCCTCAGATGCCTGGTAAGGAGGGGGTGTCCATGGACACAGGGGCTGTGCAGTTTAGCAAGCAGAGGGCTGGAAGAAGTCAGCTGCGTGGCAAAGGATCCTCTAACTCAGGCATGTCAAAATTGAAGCCTACTGAGAGCCGCACAAATGAAAACTGATAGCTTTTTAGGTGCCAGATAGAAGGCACCAATACTGGACACCTAGCAACCCTAGGGCCACCAAGGAAAAGGTACTTTGTCAGAAAGTTGTAGGTATTTCTAAATATAGATTATGTTTTAGTTATATTTAGGTATATTTTATAACATTACAACAATTTGATGTGTAAAATTGTTATTTGATTATATTAAATAATTTTTAAATTCATTTTACGTAATTTTTAATATAAATATAAAGTTAAAGTATTTGTAAATTTTGTATATGATACATAACTTGTTTCGTTGAAATAAAAACCAGTATAGACCATGGTTAATCAAATAGAACAGAATTCTGTGAAAATTTCAGATACTTTGCAAGTTTGAGACTTTGCATAAAGATATAATTATCTATTCAATTGAAAAAAATTGACATATGTATTGATATAAAATTAATATAAATTTTGTGATTTTATTTGGAAATAAATAAATAAAAATGAAATATTAACAAAGTAACCCCTTTCTCTCTCCCAGAGCCTGGAACTCCCATTCCCCTGTTCTAACCCAATCCCCTCCACTTCCCCAGTGCCAGGCCCCCCCAGCCTAATGCCTCCTCCTCCCCCTATAGCCAGGCACCCCCAAAATAATGTCTTCCTCCTCCCCCAGAGCCACTCCCAACACACCCTAACCTAATGCCTATCCCCTGAGTCAAAGCCAGGAACTCCCAGCCCTGCCCCTCTCCTCCCCGCAACCTAATGCCTCCCTCCTCCCACAGAGCCAGCTCCCCGCAACTGACTGCCTCTTCCCTCCCCCAGAGCCAGGCTTTCCCAGCCTCCTCCCACCCAACATAATACTTCGGTCCCGTAGTCGACGTTGCTGCCTGAGGTTCTGGAGCAGCATGAGCACAGCGGTTAGCGGTGAGCACCTGCTGGAGAACCCAGCACAGAGCACCCAGCCAGGCATGAGTGTGTTCTCCGAGTGGCCACTGGCATGTATTTCATTCTTTAATAAAAATATTCTGGGGTTGCAAAAATTTCAATCGGGCCGCATTGTGGCCCTACAAATACCAGATTGACATGCCGCCTCCAACTAGCCAGGCTGGGTGGGAAGAACCCTTACGAAATTGCTGCAGCTGTAGCACCTGGGGCTCAGAAGAAAGTAGGAAGACATGGGCAAATGAGAGCCAGTGGAGATCCAGCATTAGCCTCTCACACCCAGAGCTTCCCTGCACCCCACGCAGACACTTACCTGTGCAGCTGAAGGGGGCGCCAGGCTGGCTGGGCGGGAGGTAGCCTGACCGGCACCTGCAGGTGTAACTGCCTGGGGTGTTGGTGCAGATGGAGTCGGGGCCGCAGGGCGATGGGTCTCGGGCACATTCGTCAATATCTGGAGAGGGAAGAATCCAGATTGGCCATGTGTGATGCTAGGACACCAGTGTTCTACGACCCTGGGCTCCTCACACTGACCCAAGCTCCGTTGCAGCCAGTGGGAATCTTTCCATCAGCCCCAGAGGCCTTTTGCATCGGCCACTCTGCCCTGTGCCTGAACCGGCTCTTACTGTTGCACTGCGCTGCTGCATCAGTGATGCGCTGCTCCCCAGAACTGGATGCAAAGCCGGGCTTCCAGTGACAGCACTGGCACCTGGGATGTGGGCACAGGTGGCATCCTCAAGACACATCACTGACTTCAGATGGGCCCAGCTCGGCACAAAAGAGCCCGCTCTCAGCGAGAGGATGGAGAGAAGATAGCACAAGCAGCTGGTATCAGGGGGAGGGGCGGCACTGTGCCAGGAATATGGCTCCCAGCAGGTTTGCAACATGCTCTCCACTTACTGTTGCTTGGAGATGAGGGTGAGGGAGCGGTTAGGGGGAGAGAAAGAGCCCAGGCTGGCAGAGGGGAAGGCCGCTGAAAGCAGGGGACTGCCAAGTCAGGACTCCCGGCTTCTGTCCCCAGATCTGCCACAAATTCCGCATGTTGACTTTGGCCAAGTCCTTTCCCTTCCAGAAGCCTCAGTTTCCCCAGATACGCAGGGAGACATTCCCATTTTCCAGATCTGTGGCTGCCAGGGAGACTGGGGAGTCAAGACTTCCAAGTTCTGTCTCCAGCTCTGCCACAGACTCCCCACGTGACCTTTGCCAAATCCTTTCCCTTCTAGAAGGCTAGAAGGGATATATATTTGCATATGAGAGGGATGCTATAAAAGTGAGGTGTCTTGCAGAGGACCCCGGGTTTCGTCTTGTTACCATCGGAGCATCGATCTGGATTGGCAGAAGCCCGGCTCCACCCCTCCCTCATCTAACTCACCTGGCCAGTGCAGTTAAGGGGAGCAACTCGTTGGTAACAACAGCAAGACGGAGTGTGCTTGTGTGTGTCTGTGTATGTTTGAGTGCATGAGTGACATATATATATATCAGATGCATATGATAACTCTTGATTATTCTATGTGTGATCAATAACTGTGGCATGTTGCCTTATCCCCCTGAAAAAGATCCCGAGTACTTCTTTTAAGTACAACAACCCCACGCAGACACTTACCTGTGCAGCTGAAGGGGGCGCCAGGCTGGCTGGGCGGGAGGTAGCCTGCCTGGCACATGCAGGTGTAACTGCCCAGTGTGTTGCTGCAGATGGAGTCGGGGCCGCAGGGCGATGGGTCTCGGGCACATTCATCAATATCTGGAGAGGGAAGAATCCAGGTTGGCCATGTGTGACCCTAGGACACCAGTGTTCTACTGCACCGGGCTCCTCACGCTGACCCAAACCCCATTGCAGCCAGTGGGAATCTTTCCATCAGCCCCAGAGGCCTTTTGCATTAGCCACTCTCCCCTGTGCCTGATCTGACTCTCACCATTGTGCTGCGCTGCTGGGTCAGTGACGTGCTGCTCCCCAGAACTGGATGCAAAGCCGGGCTTGCAGGGGCAGCACTGGCACCCTGGAATGTGGGTGCAGGTGGTGTCCTCAAAACACTCGGCTGAATGCAGATTTGCCCAGCTCTGCACAACAGAGCCTTCTCTTAATGGGAGGATGGGGAGAAGGTAGCACAAGCAGCTGGTATTGGGGGGAGGGGCGGCACTGTGCCAGGGATATGGCTTCCAGCAGGTTTGCATCATGCTGTCCATCCCCAAGGGGCAGCCGTGCCAGTGGCCTAGGAAGCGGGTGCTAGGACACCTGGGATCTCGCGCTGAAAGCAGGGGACTGCCAAGTCAGGACTCCCGGCTTCTGTCCCCAGCTCTGCCACAAACTCCCCATATGACTTTGGCCTTCCAGAAGCCTCAGTTTCCCCAGATACGCAGGGAGACAATCCCGTTTTCCAGATTTGGTTTCCTATTATTGTAGGGCCACACCCTGAGGGGCGGGGCCCCGCCAGCTCCCCCTGCAACCAATGGGAGAGGAGCCTACTCAGCACATGCCAGGCTCTGCTCTCCATTCACACAGCACCGCAGGAGGCTGCAGCACTGCCTTGCCCCAGCCTGGGGCCCTGTCTGCCCTGCAGCTAACCTGCGATTCCCCGCCCAGGCGGACACACGCTCACCGGCTCTGCCTGGCCTACAAAGCCGTTCAGCTACCGTACAGCTCAGGCTCTGTCCAGTGCACACCTGGGATCAGGGACAGGGCGGCTCTAGGGCACTGGCCCATCCACTGCCTGCCCGCTGTGTACGCTCTGCCCTGCTTGGAGGGCTGAACTGGGACTCATAGACTCATAGACTTTAAGGTCAGAAGGGACCATTTTAATCATCTAGTCTGACCCATTGCACAGTGCAGGCCACAGAATCTCACCCACCCACTGCTGGAATAATCCATTCACCTATATCTCAGATACTGAAGTCCTTGAAATGATGGTTCAAAGACCCCGAGATGCAGAGAATCCTCCCTCTAGTGACCCGTGCCCCATGCTACAGAGGAAGGCGAAAAACCTCCCGGGTCTCTGCCAATTTCCCTCCCTGAAGACTCGCACCCTCCTGC